TATATATATATCCATAATAGGAGCTATTTTTAAAAGTATTCTAAAGTGTATGGTTACACTTTATTTTAAGGTATCCTTGTTACAGTGTAATTATACATTTAAGTACAGGGTAATATTAATTAATTACACACACTTACTATATGGGTAGGGTTAGGATTAGGGTTTGGCTTGGGGTTCCTTGCATGTAATTATGCATAATTTATTGTTATTATAATATTAAGTACAAGTAACATGTAACAAGGACACCTTAAAGATAAAGTGTTACCAATTGTACTTATTTTTCACAAGGCATAGGCCTACTGTATTCTGAAATCTTTTTGCTTGGAAAAGTAGGAGGACCTCTCAATAAACAATAATTCTTAATAAACCTTTAAGTAAAAACCCAGTCCAGTATTTGATATAAAATTAGGTATTCTAGAAAGGCACTAACACACACAATTACAGATACAACATTTCTATCACCTTGGATTGAAAGCATACTGATACATGACTAGGTCTGTAAAATATGTGTTTATTTGTAAAATATGAGTCTAAGTATAACTGTTTAACTGTATAACTAGAAGTGAAATGAATCACACACACTCTGTCAGTTTGTGTGGGCAGAAGTTTAGTTAAGCGTGGAACACAAAGGAAAACAGAAGCCTACACACCATACAAATCTTCTGTCATTCTCACATTTAACAATATACAATGCCCCAGAAAGTATCGGGAGATTCTGGGACACTTAAGTCACGCATTTTACAAATGCATTGCACTGGATGTTTAAAAAGTGCTCACACGGTACTGGATGTATAGATGTAGGTACATGTAACATACATGTATTTATTGCATCTCTTTTGTTTATTTCTTGATTTTGTGCAATGCAATAATATTCATATATTTGTGGCACAGGTGCTTAACAAACTTTTAGGGCTGCTGTACATAAGTCAGTATTGCATTGCAAAGGTTTCTCAATCAGTACACTTTTTTTGTTATAGAGTGAGATGTCTGTACAGTAGTCAGCATTCAATAAATCCTTCCCTGACACTACTAAACTCAAATATAAATCATTAAAAACAATCCTTTTGTTGAATAAACAATATGTCAAGCAGGTTTTTCTAATTAAAAGTGAACTCCAAAAATGTTCTCATTTTTCAGTTTGGGGTTTATGACAAATGTTTTATCTTAACACTCTATTTTGAGAATAAGGGTACTCTTAACTTTTGCCTGGACTTCTCACAATAAAGTGAAGATTTCTGGACGAGCTGGAGACATCAGAGAAATCTCATTGCACAGATGGATTTTTATTCTTGGCAAGCATTCTCTGTGTGAGGAGTGCCAGAGCTACTCTCTATAACGTGTGAAGCACTCGTTACCTTTGGAAAGAACAATTACAAAAATAACGGGCAAAAGCAGACTTCTGATTGGCTGCCATAGAATTAGCAGGCCTGGCCAAGTGTAGCTGGCGCCCCTCAAAACGGTTTCAAATG